CCCTTTGTGCGGTCCCCCCGCGCTCGGTCAGGCCGGCGCCGTTGCCCCGCCGGAGGTTTCGGTGTCCGCAGGCAGCGCCCGGGTCACGGCAAAGCAAAACGCCGCAGGGGAGGATGGAGTCCCTCCGTCCCACTTCCCCAGCACAACCGCCTGGTAGCGGCCCCTTGAGACCTGATGGGTTTAGGCTGCGACCACGAAACTTGAACGTGAACGTGGTTCCTCTCGTCATTGTGCTGACACACCTCCCGCTTCCCCCCGTGCTGGGGGCTCCGGGGGTCCAGACGCTGACCTGCGGGAGGACTGGAGAGTGTGGGAACATCCCCCACACAAACCGTTTGGGAAGACAAACAGTTTGGGTGCTAATAACAGCTCCTTGTGCTGTAGTGAAACCTCTGATTGAAACACTGACAGGACAGAGTTCCTGGGAAATAAAGATAAGCCAAGTCCACTGAGAGTATAGATTTCCATAGGGGTGTTTTGGGGATGCCAGTTCATAATTTCTTTACTGAAAGAGTGGTCAAGCACTGGAAGAGGCTGGCCAGGGAAGAGGCTGAGTGAGCAACCAGGGAAGTGGTTGAGTCATCAACCCTGGAAGTATTTAAAAGACGTGTAGATGAGGCTCTTGGGGACATGGTTTAGTGGGCATGGTGGTGTTGGTTGATGGTTGGACTCAATGATCTTAGAGGTCTTTTCTAACCTTAATGATTCTATAACTGCTAATTTCTTGGCGATACCTGGCAGGCAGCTAGGCAGTTAGTGGGTGGGAAACAAATTTTAGTCTTTTGTAAAAATAAACAGGCCATGAAGCTGGGGAGGGTGAGTTTGCACACTATGAGGGTTTAGGTGTGCTAAGAAGTAAAATATGGTGTATGTGTATATATACATATGTGTATACATACGCACATATACATACATACCCAAATTCCTACCTCAGATCGATCTAAAGAATAGTTTAGGGTATTGGAGTAGATGTACCTCCAAGGTGACCTGAGAGTAAACTGCTTGCCCTTTCTTCATGTAAACCACACAAATGCCCCTTCTGAAAACTGGGAATCCAGGAGCTGGATCTCCACAAAAACCACTTGATATTTTCTCTGGGAAACGGTCATGGGGCTGGCACAGACATAGAGAGGGAGTACAATGAATAAAGGCTGCTCAAGAGACACGAGGTGGTTTGGAGCAATCTGGTCTCATTGCTCTTTTTTCTCTTCACCCCCCTCCCCGTTTCCTCTACCAGCTTGTGAACACGTTCTTTAGTTTCCTGAGGCGTAAAACAGATTTCTTCACCGGTGGAGAAGACGGAGTAGCAGAGAAGGTAAAAAACCCAAATCCTCAAGCTTTTATGTCTTTTAACTTACATTCCACCCATGTCTGTGCCATGCTAGGACTTCCCTGCCTGAACAACTCAAAGCATTACGGTGCACTTGGGGACTTGTAGCCCGTGATGCTGATGAAACACATCACTGAAACAAGGTAATAACGAAGTGCTCCTATCTGAGGTGAGGCATGCATGATTGCTTGTTCGAATGGTACTGACGGTGCGGGCTTTTTTGCCACGCTCTGGCCAAAGGCTTGTTTGGAAAGCAAATCTGCCAGACACCGCTGACACGGTGACAGACACCGCAGTGTTGATAACCCCAGGTTACCTTGTTTGTTCATCTCAGAAAAAGCACAAAGTCCACATCTCTGCTCATGCGGCTGCACTTTTGTCTCGGGGCTGCGGTACCTGTACGGAGCGAGCGTGCTGGGGAGCAAGCCTGGGGGTCCGGGCAGCCTCATTGGTAGCCGGAGCAGCTCCTATCCAGCAGCTCCTGTTCCTCACCCAGCTCGAGAGCTGAAAAACTTAGGGAAATAAGAACCAGAGCATTCAAAAGCGAACTAAAGGTTTCTTGTTTGTACTTACCAGTATAGCAGCTGTTCCCCTTCCTGGACTACTGGAACTGCACCAGCAAAGCAGGCCCTGCTGCCGTGTTGTGTTAGGGCAGATGTTAATTGCTAACACAGTGTGTAATGTACTCTGTCTAGTGTCTAAAGTGGCAAAACTAAGGCAGGTAAGGGATGGGAAAGAGGATGGTTTCAAAGAAAGAAAGATGTAGCCTAGTGCTGTTTTCCTTAGACTAGAGAGCAAATCTCCCCAAATTCCTGGGGACTGTGTGCTCCCAGGAAATGAAACCCTGAGTAGCATTTCAGAGATGAGCACTGGCTGATCCTTCTGGAGGTTCTGGCTGCTGTTGTTGGCAATTCCATAGCAAATCTGTGTCTGTGCCTGTAAAAGGAAAGTGTTGGTGTCCTTGGGTGGTGTCTGTTAAAAAGCTTTATGGTCTTCTGAAAAGGTGCTCGATACAGAGTCTCTGACACCATAGTAACCACAACAAAAATTGAAGAAGCTGCTTCCCTAGTCCTGCTCGCCCTGTGGCATCAAAGAGAAAGAGGAGAGGGTGGGAGAGTCATTGTCTTTTATGGGGTGCCATTTGAGAAGCCCGTGTGGTGCAGAGTGAGGGGCGTGTGGTGGTACGTTGAGAGAAGTGCCGTCTGTGCACACTGGCAGGATCGGGCAATGTAAATAGTTTGCTCACCATGGATCATCGTGTGGTTAGGAACAGAGGCTGGGAGACGCATGTCTTGAATTCTGTATCCTAGGAGACACTGGACTCGTGTTGTGTAAATAAATCTTGCTTTCCCCTTTAAAACAAAAGGGAAATACTTGCTGGTTGGTTACAAAACTACAAGGCACGAACACTTTGAGTTGTTCTGGAAAGGTGCTGAATGCCCCCAGCAGTTTCTGGGATATATAAAAACCAGTACCTGAAACCCCTGTCTGAGAAATCTCTCCACTCTGATTCCTTTTCTCAGATTCTGTCTATATTGTTTTCTGGAGCAGACTACAGTTCTCATACGTGCCGCTTTGCACAGCGCTGCTGGCGTTATCAACCACGGGGCAATTGCTCTGGCTTCCTGCCTGTGTACTCAGCTTTCCCTCTGAGCACTGCAGCCGTTTGCATCGGAGACCCTGAGATTCTGCTTTTTGTAGTCACAATGACATGAGAATTTGGAGTGAGGTTTGAAGCAAAGATTTATGTAGGAACTTGCCCCTAAGTGTAAAACACCAAGCTTTTCAAAAGTTTCTCCTCTAAATCATGACACTGAATCTATGTCTAGTGCCCGGGGAAAAGCCCAGTCGTGGGAAAGGTCAGAGGTAGGTACAAAAACTTGGGTCTAGGGTCTCCTTTCTTCCAGCTGTCCTAGATGTATGGAGTAGCTGTCAAATGGCTGGGTTAGGCATCTGCTCGTCCTGCTGGATTTGCACAAAGGCCAAAACAAATGGAGAATCTTTATTTTGCTGTTATCTCCATGGAAATACACTCCCTAGGAAGAACTAGGAAGGGTTTCATTTAAATATTCTGAGTTTTCCCCTACTCTAGATTTTCAGTAAAAAGACTAGAGTAAAAATGAAGGGAAAAGTCACAACATCTGTATGACTAACAAATGTTCTTGTGATCCTCAGTAGACGGTGAGTTGGCTTCACTTGGGTTTGAAAAAGTGGTGATTTTTTAAAACCCTTTGATGTGTGTTCCTGTCTTTCAGCTGATCACAGATACCTTCAACCATCACAACAAACTAGCTCAGAAGGAGCGGAAAGAGAAAAAGGCTCGTCAAGAGGCAGAGCGGCGTGAAAAGGCAGAGCGAGCTGCGAAACTTGCTAAAGAAAAGCAAGAAGCAAACGAGCCAAGGATTAAGGAACTTACGGACGAGGAAGCAGAAAGGCTGCAGCTGGAAATCGACCAGGTGAGAGCAGTGTCTGGTGCCTGCAGGTATCATCTGGGTCATCTCCTCCGTTGGCCTGCACGTAGCTCAGGTAGCAGTGAGTGGTTAAAATGGCTCAAGGCTTGTTCCTTTGAAGTGTCTGGACCACCAGACTGGCGTCCTTCGAAATTAAATTAGCCTAGGCCAAACCAATGCATTTTCACATGGATTCTCCCATAACTCACTTTGCCTTTCTGCCTTCAGCAAGTTCGCCGATTGTAGCAACACCCTCTGCCACAGTCATCAAGGTGTGAGGACCAAGGGAGTCTTCTCCTTGGTGGTATCACTTTCCTGTAACATTGTTCTAAGGGCTGAAGATTCCCTGTCAGTCTTGGGTGCAGTTCTGAGTCTCGCTGTTTAGTTTCAGCTGATGAGGCTTGAGGCCACCTAGTGTCAGATCAGCAAGTAACACGAAGTGCAAACACTTGCCTGAGCATGTTCATTCTCTTTTTAAACAGAAAAAAGAGGCACAAGGACAGATTAACAGTGTCCCAGTGAAACCCTCGGAGGATGAAGGTGAATCTTCAGATTCTAACAAACAGGTAAAGCTCATCTAGGGACTTTATTTTAGTATGGGATAAATAGGTTTCTGGACAACCATGAGAACTCCTGTAAATGTGAGGGAATACGTTGAGAATACACACTTAATTCCCAAAGATTTCAATTTTTTTGTGTGTGCGTGTTTTGTTTTGTTTTCCTTTCCTTTTTTGTAGTTATGTTTTAACAGAAACACCTATACATTGCGGGCTAAATTTATGTGAATATCAAATATGTGCACCTAAATATATTATAAATTATAAATTCTTATAAGAACCAAGAACCGTTGTTACAAGTGAAAGATAAATGGAAACTTGAAAAGCTTCTTTCTTTACACTTTAAAATGGTTGCTTAGGAAACAGATGACGAAGAGGAAGATGAGAAGGATAAAGGAAAACTTAAACCCAACTCTGGCAATGGAGCTGACCTTCCAAATTATAGATGGACACAGACTCTTTCAGAACTGGATGTAAGTATTGCCTTATTACCAGGATCTGAGGAATCTGAGATAGGGAATAAGAGCAGGTGCTGCTAAAAATGGTGGAGCCGATGCCCTGTATCTCAGTTGCCTGTGGAAGGTTGTTAGTTGTACTTAACGGCAACATTTCAGTAGCTGGGAGAGAGCTCAGTAACTAAACAAAATGCCCAGAAGCTGTAGTTAACTTTGCCAAATCTTGGTCTTGTTTAAACAAGACATTAAAATCTGCTTCCCTTTTTATGGTCCCTTTGAGGTATTGGCCTCAAATATCCTGTTGCCAAACTTACTCTTGCATCCTTTCACCCTTCCGCTCGCTCAGTATCCCAAGGAAAATATTGTGTGCTCTGTCTTATTCTGGTGAAACCAAGGCAAAAAGTCTTAGAATAGCAGCACAGGAGGTATGTCATGAATGAGTGGTTTAGAGGCCGCTTAAAGAATCACTGTCAAAGGTATTAGCAGAAAGTGATTTTAATAGAGATTTATAGATGTTCGACCTAACAGAATGTGATGGCAAGGTTCACTCTATTACTTACTACACAGATGAAACATATAAAGAAAGATCATCTAGGGGCTTATATCTTAGGGACTATATGTGTTTAGCAGCAGTCTAGGGTTCATTCACAGTTTTAGCAACACTTAATCATTAACTAATAATTTATGAACTTTAGTAGCACTTAATCATTAACTAATCTAGTATTTACGAAATAAGTGTTAGTAGTCTACTATAATCATGACTTAATTACAGATTATGCTTACTATTAGTCCACACATACAGAAAAATATATATGTATATATATGTACAAAAGGTATACCTGTTAAAAATTCCCCTCGAATTCAGTGAAGAAATATTCACGTAAAATGTGTCGGCATTTCTCAACGGGCGAGGGTTGAGCTTTGAGGAGTGAAGGGGTTCAGCGCAGGTCCCGTCGTCAGCTTTCGGTGACGGTCCTCTGAATATCGCAGACTCGAGAGGTCGCGAGCTCTGAGAGGCGTCCCACTCGGAGGGAGATGCTGGGTGCAGCCTGTTGCGGTCCCGGAGAGCTCAAAGGGTCTCACTCAGGACCACTGTTTATAGGTTCGCAAGATGATTGGCTTTAGTCATCCGTAAATTTCCATCCTGGCCACAGTCCCAGGTGGTAATTACTAAAAATTGTCAAGGTTTCAGTGTTGTTCTACTTGACACCTGGGCCAGGCAGTAGGAGTATGTTCCCAGCTCAGCTATGCAGAGTTTCTGATACGGTCAAGGAGCACTCAACTGCCAGACTCAGTACGCCAAGGCCAAGGTTTCATGGGAATTTCTGAGATCAACAAGAGGCCTAGGAGAGGTGGGGGGAAATGACCACCACAGGGTAAGGAGAGGTTTCACTGCTCAGCTCCTCAAATGTGATCTGTGTCTGGTCCAGCTGGCCATCCCTTTCAAGGTGAACTTCAGGTTGAAGGGGAAGGACGTGGTGGTGGATATCCAGAGACGGCGCCTCAGAGTTGGCCTGAAAGGCCATTCGCCTGTCATTGATGGAGAGCTTTTCAATGAAGTGAAGGTGGAGGAGAGCTCCTGGCTGATTGAAGATGGTAAAACAGTCACCGTGCACCTGGAGAAGGTAAAGGAGAACGAATCAGGATTCAGACTTGTCTGCCTCTTCCCTGGTGAAATAAGAGTCTGACGAAACCTAGGAAAGCCCTGGGCTTTGTCAGCTGAAACAGAAGAACCACACTTATCCTTGGTACAACGTCAGTGATGCTATTGGAAGTGGGGTATTGCAAGTTCCCCCTGTCTTCAGCCTAGCTTCATGCTAATCCAGGATATCCAACTGATTGCTCAGCAGTTCAGGAAAAGCTGGAAGGAAATCGGTCATTCTACAGTTGTTCCTTAATGGAATAATGCCATGTTTTGACATTTGTTAGTGACATGAAAATCCAGGGACAGACCTTATTGCTTATTGTGTCCCTTATTGTGTCCCTTCTGGGCCTCTCCAGGTGATTTGTTTGTAATCCCATTTACGTCATGCCAAACATGACATCTGACATGCTCTCAGATTTCTCAGCTGTGGAAATTCAGGCTACCTAAAGTGGTTCGGAATGAAAGTGGTACCCTTTATCCGTGTTCAGATTTTACTGACATTTAGAAAACTGTCAAATAAAGTTGATTCCAGCAGCTTTTTCCTGTGACTTGAGACCTAAAATTCCTAGACCAAGTCCAGGAAAAATAATATATTTTTCCTTCTTCATCCTTCAGATCAACAAGATGGAATGGTGGAACAAACTAGTCTCCACAGACCCGGAAATCAACACCAAGAAAATTAATCCAGAGAACTCAAAGGTAAGAACTGCCCCCGTTTTACTGTGTGGAGCCTTCTCATACGTGTGCTCACACTCGGCTCACATTCACCTTCGATGTCTTTTTTCGTACCAGCGTAAAACGAATACTGGGAGTACTGCTGCATATGATGCTATCATATAACATTAGTGCCCCCAAGACTTCAAACGAATGAAGCTGAGTCTATAGATTAGCGTCTGTATAAGTATTTCTGCAGCCCATGCGCACAGCACAGCGTAACCTCAAATGTATTCGTGTTCTCTGCAAGCAGGGCGTATGGGTTGAGACAAGTTATTCCAATTTTGATAGAAGTCCTTGCTTTTAGTTGTCAGACCTGGACAGCGAAACTCGCAGTATGGTGGAGAAAATGATGTATGATCAACGACAGAAATCCATGGGCCTCCCCACATCTGATGAACAGAAGAAGCAAGACATTTTGAAAAAGTGCGTAGATCTCATTAATTTGTGGGTATTTGCTTTCCCAAGGCCCTCTCCTCTTCCTCTTTGGCACAAATACGTGAGGAGAAAACAGGTTGGCCTTCAATCCTACCTGTGTTCGCATCTGCAGTTATGTAGTCATTGAATTGTTGGCCAACCACCAATGTCTATAAAAGCCCGTGGGGGTAGAAAGCATAACGGGAAATTCTGGGAATAGCCTACCTCTGGAATTGTCTTAATCTGCTGATTTCAAGTCCAGAAAGCATGTTTGGGACTGGAGGTACCATCTCTACTGAACTTTAACATGGTCTTGATTGTTTTCTAATCTCCCTCTAGCCCAGATAATCACCCCTCCCTACACACCTGCTACTAGACAGCTGTCTCCAAGCCAATACCACTTTTATGTCTTTATTGCCCTGCTTGGCATAAACGCACCTTGGCAGGGAAATTACTCATGGAGCTCCTAAGGCCGTTTGGGAAGGCATGGAGGCAATTCTGGGTCATGCAGCTTCTTCAGCAACCTACATCGTATCTCAGGATTGGAAGGAGGATTTAGTGTAGAAGGCCTGACTCCTTTTCTTCCTTAGCTTATCTGTAGCGGCAGAAGCTTCACTCTGATCGGTGCGCCGAGTACAGCGTAGGGTGCAACTGTTTTAGAGCAGAGACCAGACTTCCTTAGTGCCTGCCTGTTGAGTTAGTAGAATGGGAGGTAGCCCTCTCCTCCTGGGAAGTCCACAGACAGGATACCTCAGTGGCAAGGTCACTCGTTCAGTGCTCTGGAAGTTTGACTTGTGCGCAGATTGGCTGGTAAAGAATGGGTAGGAAGTTTAGACTTTGTTCAGGCAAAGTAGACTCGGTGACACCCAGGTGGGTCCTAATCTCTGCCAGTGAAACCCTCCTGGCTGCTAAACAAGGACACTGTTCTTGCCACACATATTTCTGTGGAAATGGAAAGTGGAAACGCTGTGGTGGCATTTCAGGAGAAACCGTGAGATGAGAGCACAGAGGAAGACGGAGGCCTGCCCTTTCGTGCACTTTGTGCGTGAATCCTCCACGTAGTTATGTGTTTTATCCCTTGGTGAACTGCAGGGCAGAGGAGGAAGCCAGGAGCTTCTGCGTGCAATAATCACTCCTGATCAGTCATAGGCACAGCGTATTGTGCTCAGAACTTTCTGATGTGGCAACCTGAGTCCAAATAGTCCTATCTGCTGGGATTGCAGTACATTTGAAATCAGGTTGCACCTAGGCTGAATCTAGATTTCCCTGGTCATGTCCTTCACGAGTTTTCACTGTTGCAGCACTGGAGATACTCCCCACGTCCCCAGTCATGCTTAAGGTAACACATTTGAGCTTAAATCGTAATCTACCCTCACAATCTCCCCTCTGTCCCACAATCAGTGTCATAGCTGCTACGTGTCTGTCCGAGAGGTAACAGTTAAAGGGTGTGTGTCTGATAATTAATAACTCCCATGTGTCTGGACTTGCTGACCTTGATGGCTGGTAGGATTGCTGACACCACTGACCCGAGGAAAAAGTGTTTGTAGTATGGGGAGTGTGTCCCAAGGAGCTCAGCAAAACAGTCCCTGCTGTGGAGGGCGTGGGGAGGAAGCAAACTTGGTAGTGCAGGAAGTAGGGATGCCTTACCCCCCCAAAACAGAGCTGTTCTGTGCCTCATGCTGACTCATACCCAAGCTCTTGTCTTTGTTTTCCTTGCAGGTTCATGGAACAGCATCCGGAAATGGACTTTTCAAAGGCTAAATTCAACTGAGCCCTCCCCTTCTCCCCCCTCTTTCAGTCAGCCCGTCGAATGGGGAAGGATAGGTATTGCCGGATAACCCTTACCTTGGGCAAGTAAACACTTCCAGCATCCCCACCCGAGCTTGCTGTGGAGGCAGCTTCATGAAGTCGTCCTCAGTTGTCCTGTGTTGAGCAGAATGCAAGGCCACAGAAGCGGCCTGCAGCAGCTCCACTCGGAGCCATCTGCGACACTTCCCAAACGGCAGTTAGGAGAGAAGGAGGGGTTAGAGCAAAAAGGGTGTTAGGGCTACAAGAGCCAGACTTGAGAGGTTTTGGGACATATCCTTAATGTATCGCTTAGCTTCATCTCCTGGCTCTTCAGAGCTGCTAGTCCACTCTTTGCCATTTCGGTTTGGCAGCAGGTACTCCTGAGTTTTTGCTCCCTTCCCCTTAGCTTTCCTGCTCTCCTGTGAAAACAAGGGCCAGTTTATTTTGTAAAATAATTCTCCTTCTGCCTTCTTGGGAAGGGAAAACACCAGTCTAAAAAACCAGCTATTGCAGTAGAGATAGACTCTGCTCCTCCTTGCTGCTGCTTCTGTTCTTGCCAGAAGTGGAACAGACTGAGTCTTACAGGGCTCAAGGGAAAGCTTCCATCACAGCTGGGGAGGTTGACCTGCTGTCCTGCAGCAAGGGAAGGCTGGAGAGTCTGTGGTTGTGGGCAAGGGAGAGGATGTGGGGGGTCTTTAGGGGTGCTGTTCTTGCTGGGAGCATGTCTCCTGCCTCTTTTCCAAGAGCCTCTCTCCCTGCTGACTACTGACAGGCATCGCTGCATTCTCTTCTGAGCTCCCGCTGACGAGTGGCATTACTCTGCATGTTCGTATCTTTGTTAAAACTGCAGTGCAACATAAAGAAAAAAAAAGTGGCCTGTTTCCAGGTAGAGCGTGTGATTTCTCCAGCAGAAAGGATCCAGGCTGCCTGCGCAGGCTGGGAGGGGGCAGTGCCTGTGAACGAGGGTGCTGGGGGGGCTGCCTGGCAGGGGCTGGGGGTCGTGCTCTCTGCAGCTGCCTGTAAATACGTCTTGGGCTCCCTGCTCTGGACTAATGTTTGGTCCCCAGCTAAGGAGAGGCAGTTGGAGCTGCGTGTCTTGCTCAGGGAGTACTGATGAACTCCATCCCCCCCTTAAACACTTGGGGATGACCAAGGCTCATTGCTCCAGGCTCCACTCTCCACGTAGCAGCGCGTGACTGCACTGGGGAAGCCACCCTTGCCCCAGGTCTGCTTTATGATGAGCTAACGAGGAAAGTGTCACGAAAGCCCGGGCTCCTGTCAGTCCTTCACGGATCCCTGCTGCTGCGGTTCTTGCCGCTGCCTTCCCGAAATGTTTCCATCTTATACCAGAGGGAGTGGGCACAAACGGCTGAAAAACCTGCCTGGGCAAAGTCCAGCCTGGCATTGCACCTGGCATGTTTGGTTTTTTTTTCTTTTTTTTTTTTGAGTAGTAGGACATTGTTTGCATTTAGTCTCCCAGTTTTATAGGCTCTTGGGGTCAAAAACCAGCATCCACCCAGTTGAGCAGTGACCTTGTTGGGCAAGCAAGGACCCAGGTCGGGGCAGCTGCCTCTGGACTGCTGGATCCTCCCGCCTGTTCATCTTACAGTTCACCCCGCACGCGTTTGCATGTCTGTGCTCTGGCCTTGATAAACCAACAGGGTCTCCATTACTGTAAATAAAGCCAGACTGTGCTGGCTTCATAGGCCCTTAGCCCCGGAGTGAGCGTACCTGCCAGCATCTGTGCTTAACCATGGTGCGTGGGGCAGGTGAGCTGGGCAGGCTGAGCTGTTCTTGGGGGTGTGATGAGCTTCACCCCGTTCTCAGCTGTGTGTTGGAGAGCTGCTGGTGCTCCCTGGAGTTGCTGGAGAGCAGGGGAGGCGGCCGGACTCTGCACCTGCAGCAGGATCCTCAGCCAGCCCCTCCTAAGGAGCAAGCACAGGCAGGCGCCAGGGCAGCAAACGGGGACCGTGCGTGGTTCACGGCACCACCCAAACCCAACCTATAGCTTTGTTATTTCCCCGTTACCACCGTGGCTCTGTATCCAACACCAGAAACCCCAAGTCCAACCCGATCCGATTGCTGGCAGCTTGGCAGCAGGGCAGCAGCTGTAGGGTCAGCGGGTCACCATTGCAACAGCATTGTTCTGCCTGTTTTAAGTGCAGAGCTCCCTCGAGTGTTACCAAAACCAAAATCTCGGTGGCTGGTCCTGTCCTCGGCCCCTGGAGGGTTGTGGCTCGTGTGAGCCAGGGCAGTGGTCGTGGTAATCGTGACCGTGAAACTTCAGCGTTTTCCAGTTGGGCAGCAGCTGTAGGGTCAGCGGGTCACCATTGCAACAGCATTGTTCTGCCTGTTTTAAGTGCAGAGCTCCCTCGAGTGTTACCAAAACCAAAATCTCGGTGGCTGGTCCTGTCCTCGGCCCCTGGAGGGTTGTGGCTCGTGTGAGCCAGGGCAGTGGTCGTGGTAATCGTGACCGTGAAACTTCAGCGTTTTCCAGTTCAGGATGGCACTGGTCTTAGATCTGGTTGGTGTCACTTGCAGGAGGCAGGTTGGGTAGCAGCTGAGAGAAGAGAGAGTTAAGACAGAGAAAAGGCAGCGGCAGGAACCCCAGAGGAAGCTGGGGGAGATTTTTTTGGGGGTGGAGGAGTGTCGTTTTGCCTTTCAGGCAGGTGAAGGGAAAAGGCAAACAGTCCTGGGAGAACGGGGCCGTAACTGCAGCTCTGAACCCTACGGCAGGTGAATGCCCGGGGCTGTGTTTGTGAACGGCGGTTGATCCCAGCGCTACCCCTGGACTTCAACCCTTCCGGCCAGCGGAACAGAAGGTGTTTCTCCTGACGGCCTTGTCCTCTGCAAACACTCAGCTGCCACCAACTTTCTCCAGGCTGAGCTGAATCAGAAGCACCCTTTTGCTTCCAAAAGGCAGTTTCCCCTGGAATAAATCATGCCAGGGCAGGACAGCTCTGGTCCAACCAGCTGCAGAAGGGGCTTAAAAGAATGGAAATCCCCACCTCAGTCTGAGTGACCAGAGACCACAGACCGTGGCCTCATCCTTGTGACCACAGCAGGGAAACGCCAGACACCGTGAAGGACGTTGGGAACCAAACCCTACAAATACATCCTTGTCTTGACTCCCAGCAGAGCAGGGAGGGCCGTGCCTGGGAGGGCAGGCGATGAAGGTCCCTTTGCCTTTCCACGCCCGTGTCAAGTCACCTGGAGAAGCTGTTTCGGTGCTGCCACCCGCCGGAGCCGTGGCTGCCAGCACAGCCTGGAGCTCCTCCACCCGCCTGGCTGCAGCTCCCTCGCTGCTGGGCCCCTTCTCACATCCTCTAAAAGCAAAATCTTGAGGGCATACAGGCTCTGCAGAGGGCTTTCCATATGGTAAAAGTTTCCCTGTCTGGTTTGTTCCCCCCCCCCCCGCAGTTCTTGGCTTAGCTCTTATTAATGAATATTGCAGCTCAGACCGTTTCATTTGGGAAGGGCTGCAGGGCTGCTTTGGAAAGAGCAATGAAACAGAAAAACCCCAAAGAGGGAAACGGAGGCACTGGATATTTAACATTACACTTACTTTGAGGAGAAGCCACAGCTCCTCTCTTACTGCTGAGGACCAGGCTGTAAAGAATTAGGGTCAATCCATCCGCTTTCTAACTTCTAAGCCACACTGACATAAATCATGCAGTAGTTCAGGGTGTGGATGGGGAAGATGAGCTTCTTGAACACTCAAAGCCTGATGCATCCATTCCCAGCAGAGTTACCGATCTTCCTTAACCCGAACCCAGGGAACCCTGGCAGTGGGGTGGCTTGGGGCCGTGCAGTACATTGGATCCTACTGAAGTCACTGTACTAAAGAGCAGCATTTTTGCGGCACGGTAAGGACCCACGCACAGTGGGAGTTCTCTGGAGAGTCTCCTGGCAAAACCAAGCCCCATAAAAATCAAACAATGTCTTCAGGAAAAGAAAGGTGCTGAGTCAGGCTCCCAAAAGGAAGTACCTGCGTGAAAAGAGCATGTTTACATGCAGGCGGCCAGGTAAAGGGCTCTCGTGTTTGTAAGATCTCCACTTGGCCAACCAACTCTTTCTGCCAGATCACTCAGCAGAACACTCAACACTAATGCTCAGAGCAAAAACCACTACAGCAACAGCCAAGACAACTGGATCAACAACAAACACGACCTTCAGCAGACAAAAAAACCTGTGGATTCATTCCACGTGCGGCTATGAGCAAGGAAACCCATGATCCACACAGCGAACTCAAAGGCAGGAGAGCTGCTGAACACAGGACTGACAACAGAGACAGCTCGACTACGGCATCATAGTTTTAAATGCAAAGTTTTCAAATCTTCCCAGAAATTGCAGTGATCTTCCAGCAGCAGTTTTGAAGCAGCCAGCTAGTTAGGAAGCAGTGCTTTGGGGCAGGGGATGAGCTCCCCGTGCTGTGCACCCAGCAGAGCTGCACTGAGCAGTGATAGAACCCAAAGCTTCCAGAAACAGTCATTCCCCAGGGATTCAATGTGCCCAAGAGAAGCAGAAGCAATACTGCCTGTCACAGCCACCCGGTCACTCCAGCTGCTTGAATGAGCGCTGAGGGAAGACAAACCTCTTCCAGGAAAAGCACTGGAGAAATTTAGAGAGGAAGGGTAGGCAGAGGGTAGAAAAAACGTGGCCCAGACTTGCATGGGGAACTAGCAGGGCAGCATAGGAGCAGGTGGGGACAGCAGAGATGGCAGTGACACAGCCATGTCCCCACACAGGGTGACAGAGCTTGGCCAGCAAGCTGCTGCTGGCAGCCTTTGCTCCACTTCCCTGGGGCCCCAACCAGCTGGTTCGAGGGCTCCAGACACAAAAACATCTCCTCCGGAGACCCTTCCCGGCCAAGAGAAGGCAGCATTTACCTCTTCACGGCTTTAAAATCCTTCCAGGAAGGACATACCTCGCACAACTGCAGTGGACTCTGCCTGCTGCCGAAGGGTGGCCGGCCCGGTTGAACTGGGTCTTCGTTCAACAAAAATTGGGACAGAAGAGGTAGCGGACCATGCACAGAAGGACTCAAGTTTGGGCTCAGTCTTCTGCCTATCTGCATGGACTAGACAAGAATCACCAGTCCTTAATAGATCAAACTTAAGGAGAAAAAAAAAAAGGTGGTGTTAGTGCCAGTCCCTCACACCATCCACCCTCTTACCTTGCAGGGGTGCCGGGAGAGTTGGTCCTGTGCACCAGGGGGAAAAACCCACCCACGACCACCTCCCTGCCGTCCTCTGCCCAGGGAGGACGAGGGAAAGTCAGTGGCAGGGAATGGGGCTCTGCAGGTTATCGGCTGAGTTTTTGTAGTGAAATTAGAAAGTGCAAAACTGGTCCTTCAGGTCACAGGGTCAGAGCCTGAGCCAGCCTCCCTCCCTAAGCGGATCCTGCCCCACCATCAGAGACAGGAGCTGCTCCGGAGCAATTCTTGCATTTTCTAGCAACAGCTGTCTACACGACAGGGAATGAGCTGAAAATTCTCCCCCCAGGCTCAGTTTTTCCAGAGCTCAGTTCCAGCATCACCCCTCAGGGAAGGTCCAGGTTTCCCTGCATGCAAACAGGCACTTCCCCAGGGGCTGCTTTATTTGCACCCAGCTTCCCCGTGTCCCATGCACCAGCCCGGCACTCAGCCCTCTGAACAATCCCCCCCGGCACAGGCAAACGCTGCCAAGGAGACGAAAATATCTTTCTCCATGTGCTGCTGGGAAAGCAGGGATCAGCAACCCCCTGCGCAAGCCCCCCCGCCTGGCCCAGGCTCCCTCCGCTGAGGGATGCTCTCCCCGAACTGATGCAAGCAGGCATGTAAAAGACACAGCACAGGTAGTAAAAGACTCAGCACAGGTAAAGAGCACATCTGCTTTATAAAAAAGACCGAATCAGATTTTTAAGGCCAAGGAGTGCAAAAGAATCCCATAAGACACCACAGGTGCACCAGCTTCAGGGACCATCGAGTTGACAGTCTTCCTCTTAGTGAGTTTTTGGGGTTTTTTTGGGTTTTGGGGTTTTTTTTTTTTGCAAGCTTAATCCATACACATTCACTCTTCATACACAGACTAAACATTAAAAATGTGCTATTGCATCTGTAATAGCGATCGGCAGCTCTTTGCAAGTCCATCCTCACCCCTCGTCTCCAAAGCTCCAGCGCACAGACCACAGAGCTACGTGTCAGTGTGACCCACGCCGACGCCTCAGTGCACAGGTTTAAGTAAACTTGTCCAAATACGTATGTACAAATCCATTCAGAAGCAGGAAGCCAAAAGGGTCCATCAGTACATGTGGCATTCGGAAGGAGGTCACCAAACACAGCTCCTCTGGGAGTCCCGGGCTGGCCTTCCTTCAAGTCTCTTCCTTGCATAAACGGGGTTTTTCACAAACCGACGGCTTTAAAAACAAAGCAGGGAGGGGAAGCCAAATCCAAGTCTCAGGCTCTCCCCTTTATTTGCAAAATCTCTCTCCGTCAGTGTCCCAAGGTGTGGTCTCAGTAATGTCTGTGATTTATGAAACGCCAGCAGTTTACAAAAACAGGCTCCAACAGGGACTTGAACTGTACATTTCAAAGGGCTTTGGCCAGTTAAATAAGCCTGACTGCTCATGTGAGGAATTAAATCCTTTCCCCCTCTACCCAACCTTTTGAAGAGTAATCACAGGCTGTGAAATAAAGGCACATTTCAGTTCAATTAAGGCACAAAAACATGGTCCACACCAAAGCACGGGGCCTATTTTGGTTTCCCTCTCCCCAAAAACCAGTGGGTGTGTTTATTCTATGGCTGGTAAATTCAACTAAGCGTTTTCTATTCATGTCCAAGGGCACCCGAATGTATAAACAAGTCCCATGGCTTCACGTGTTTACTTTACGATTAACAACCAAGTGGCAACACCAGTAAGATACAGCTTCCTCCTGCTGCAGCCCTCAAGGTCGCCTGGCGCCGTGCCCTCAGGGTAGCGATACCACATCTCCTGCTTCTGACCAGCTGTTGGAGAGGAGCAAAGGGAAGGAGAAGGCGCTGAGCGCCCACAGGGGAAAGGCAGGACCACGCAGTTCCTCACAGACCCTCAGGGGAGGCTTTCCTTTCGAAGCAAGCCACTTTTACGGGAGTTTCTAGCCGAACAGTCAAACAGCCCAATTCTTAATTACAAAAACTTAAAAATGAATCGACTATTTCACTCACCCGAGTTCAAGGCTTGCCCAGCAGTCAGCGTGACACCAAGCATGACGGGGAAACGCAGAGGGCTTGGCGGATGAGTGAGGAAGAGCTGACTGCCGTGCAAGTCACAGGTCAGCGCGTGCAATTGGCAACACCTCACGCCCGCAGTTCACATGAGACTGGCAGTGACTGCGCAGCTGATCCCCATGGTCTGCTCGGGAGATGGGAGTGGGGAAGCTGCCCAGGCATCCCAACCCCTCTGCAACTGGCACTGTGTCGGGAGACACGCCAAGAGGCCAAAGATTAAACGAACCACATTACCTGAACCTTCTCCTTACAAGGCAGCAGGAGATGAAACCACTAAGGGTC